GGGGGGAGAGCGACAGGGGGAGAGGGACGCGGGGACAGGGACACGGGGACAGGGACACGGGGACAGGGACATGGGGACAGCGACACGGGGACAGGGACATGGGGACAGCGACATGGGGACAGGGACACGGTGGGGACAGCGCCATGGAGTGGGGACAGCGACAGACACGGTGGGGACAGGGACATGGGGACAGCGCCATGGGGACAGCGCCATGGAGTGGGGACAGCCCCGGTGGGGACAGGGACACGGGATGGGGACAGGGACAGCGACACGGGATGGGGACAGCGTCACCCACCAGGGACAGCCCCGGGCTCTGGGGACACAGGGGACAAACCCCGGGAGGAATTCCCGGTTCCCACAAACACCGGGAGGAATTCCCGGTTCCCCCAAACCCCGGGAGGAATTCCCGGCTTTTCCCCCGGCTGGAAGAGACGGGAGGGGCTCAGGGTGGGGGTCAAACACTGGAATAAATTCCCAGCCCTCGCCCAGTTTGGAAGGAGGAGGGATCGGGCCGGGATCACCGGGATAAATCCCGATTCTTTCCCGGACTGGGAGGGATCGGGCCGGGATCACCGGGATAAATCCCGATTCCCCCCGGATTGGGAGGGAGGAGGGAGCCGGGAGAGCCCCGGGCGGGTTCGGTCCGTACCCAGCAGTTTGCTGGTCTGGATGTCGATGGGCACATGCTGGTACTCCTGGGGAGCGACCTGCGGGCAGCGCGGGAGCGGCGCTACCGGAACCGGCACCGGAACCGGGAGCGGCACCGATCCCGCTCCTCGTCCCAATCCAGATCCCAGTCCAGATCCCGACCCCCCTCCCGATCCCGCTCCCGGTCCCGATCCCGCTCCGGACCCCGCTCCCCATCCCGATCCCCACCCTGATCCCGATCCCGCTCCAGATCCCGGTCCCGGTCCCGGTCCCGGTCCCGATCCCCACCCCGATCCCGATCCCAGTCCCGCTCCCGCTCCCGGTCCCGGTCCCCACCCCGATCCCGATCCCGATCCCGCTCCCAGTCCCGGTCCCGGTCCCGGTCCCGCTCCCGACCCCGCTCCCCATCCCCATCCCCACCCTGATCCCGATCCCGGTCCCGCTCCAGATCCCGGTCCCGGTCCCGCTCCAGATCCCGGTCCCGGTCCCGCTCCAGATCCCGGTCCCGATCCCGCTCCCGACCCCGCTCCCCATCCCCACCCAGATCCCGATCCCGATCCCGATCCCGCTCCAGATCCCGGTCCCGGTCCCGCTCCAGATCCCGGTCCCGGTCCCGCTCCTCACCTGCATCTTTCCCGTCCCCACCTCTCCACTTCCTCCCCCCGCTCCAGCCA